CTCAAGCACAGGCCACCTGTGTGACCCAAGACAAGTCGCTCCAGCTCTGGGCACCCCTTTGCCTGCCTGTAGGATAGGGTGAGTCATGGCTACCTCACACAGTGGCTGTTACCGGCAGGGGTCACTGCATTGGCTTAGTGCATGTCAGCGGCCTCTGTGTTGTTGACTCCGGGACCAGGCACCACTAACTTGCTCCTCTGGGTTCCTTGGGTAATTCATTGCTCTCATGGCTCTCGAAGTTGGGTCTAGTTGATAGTTCTCAACTTCCTTTGTTGGTCCCTTTTGAAGATAGAAGGTGTCCCTAGTAGGCAAGTCTCAGGGCAGAGGTTCTGGGGTGGGTGTTCAGCCTGAATTCCCTGCCCAGGTTGCTGATTCTGTGCAATCTCTTGCCTTCTCTGGGCCTCAGAGACCATGGAGAATGACCAACAGCTCTGTTCTGTGAGGATCTTATCCTTGGACACCTGGGGAACTGATGAGTTTCTTCATAACTAGGGGGAGACCACTCCCCTTCTTCTCACACCATATGGAACGCTCCATAGATGCCGTTCCCCAGCTAGCTCTGGTCCCTATAAATCCAGACCCATCTGAGCCACCTGGCTGCTACAGTGCCTTGGGGGTACACAGAGTGGTCCAGGGGGATGCAAGAGCCCCCATCTCCACCAGTCCTCATGGACCCACATAAACCCAAGAAGACAACAGTAATGTGCTTTTGGTGGTGCAAGGACAAGGTTAAGACATGGTTCCAATGTGACTGTTACTCCCAAATGAGTGCTGTATACACAGGACAGCCTCCTATGGAGTCAGACCTTGTGCCATGTGCCCTGGAGCCTGGGCCCAGTCCTGGCCCAACCTCGGCACAGACTTGTTCCCACACCAACCCGTAGCTAGAAAAGTAGCACAGTTCTGATGTCACATGCAATGGCAAGGGTTATCAGGAGCCTCGGGAAACTCTTTCAAGACTGATTTTTATTTGAAAGGTAGAACTACAGAAAGAGAGATCTTCCATCTGTTGGTTCACTCCCCAAGTAGCCACAGTGGCTGGAACTGAGCCAATCCAAAGCTAAAAACCAGGAGCTTCTTCTAGATCTCCCATGCAGGGCCGGGTCCCAAAGCTTTCCCAGTGTAGAGCAGGGAGCTGGATGAGAAATGGAGCAGCTAGGACATGAACTAACAGCATATGAACAGCACCACACGAAGAAGCTTAGCCTACTATACCATAGCGATGACTCCAGATCTCTCATTTTTATATCTTCACTGAGCAGGTGAGAAACCAAGGCCACAAAAGGGAGGTGACCTGCCCAAGGTCACACAGCAGGATGTACCATGATTGGGTCTTGAACCCACTCTGTGGCCTCTTGAGTGTTCTTCCGCCTTTCCCAGGCCCTCAGGAGGCTCTCCCTCACCTAGCGCCCTGTGGAGCTTTGTGCTGTGGGGGTGCCGGCCAGCAGGCAGGAGGAGATCAGAGTGGCTGGGCCCACACCCAGGCACCTTGCTTGGAGTGGGCTGGGTGCACTGCTGGCTCCAGCACAGCTCTTCTGAGGGGCTGGGTGGGAAGCAGGAGGCCATTAGGACCCAGAAGCTCTCTGAGAAGCAGCACCCTGCTCTGCCGGCTGCCTCTCAGCCTCACTGCAGTGGTTCAGGATTCAGCAGCCTCGGAGAAGCATCAGCTGAGAGGAGCTATCACATGGGAGCCAGGCGCTGCTCAGCAAAGGGAGGAGTTGCCGACTAGGCCAGGAGCCCCTGGGGCCAAACCCCAGGGCCTGGTGGTAAGTGTCCTGCGACTGAACCAAGGGCAGCTTTCCTGGGGCCAGCCCAGCCTACCTTATGATAGGCGGTTTGGTTAGGGGATGGGTTCCCAGGTATCCCAAAGGTAGAACAGGGATGTGAGCATCTCTGATGCCTAGAGCCGGGGTTGAGAATTGGGGTGGAGGTGGATGGTCTGTTAGCTGGAGTACTGAGAGCCTTCAGGCAGCCCGTGTCCTCCGCCCGTCTTGCTCCATGGCTCAGACACTGGGGGCCCCCACATCCTAGCGGCGGGTCCTTTGGCATCCAGGCTGACAGGGAACTGTATCCTGGGTGTGGGCAACTCTGCTGGGAAGTGGTAGGGTAGCTCTCTAGCAATTTCCCCTGCATAGGGAGGCATGCTTTTACCTGAATGCAAGGCAGGCTTGGGTCCTAAACATGGGTACTGGGGGCGAGGAGGGGCTGGTAAAAAACCCCAGCAACAGCCCTGTGGCCTTGAGTTGGGCACTTCTAACCCCTAAACATGGCTTTGTGCAAACCGGCTTCGGCCCTCCCTGCCTAGCAGCCCAGAACTTAGTCCTGAGGATGGCCAAGCCTTCCAGGTACTCTGAGGTCCTGGAGGTGCTGCGGGGAGGTTGTTGGAAGGAAGCAGTGGGAGGAGGAGAGCCTTGGGTTGTGATAGGAATCCTGAGTGGCAGACGGCTCTCTAGCCCTCTCCCCCAAAACCCCAGTGTCTCCAGGAGGCAATACCAAGGTATCCAGGAGTGTGGGTCTGTGTGGAAGTCAGCTGGAATCCTGGAATTCAGGGGACATTGTGGAGATGCTGGCAGAGCAGAAGGGACCACAAGAAAGACAGACAGCCCGCTGCCTTTTTGCCTAGGGCTTCGTCAGGGCTACATGGCACCCTTCCTTCTCCCCAAGGGAACCATGCCTGCTTCCCTCAGGCGGGGACACACAGGAGCCCTGACCAGCCCAGACTCTTGCTATCCATCCGGACTTGGTGAGCTGCTCCTCCTAAAGCTGCCAGGGACCCTGAGTCACGTCTTCTGGGCATCCAGGTAGCAGGTCTCAGTCAGTCATGGCATGGAGAGCAACGGGCGAGATTACTTTCCCCTGTGCTTCCTGTTAAAAGACTGTCTTGGGAGAAACCCACAACTTCCCTTTAAGCCCCTTTCTCATCTCCTTGGAAAGCCCCAAGTCTGTGTGGCCATATTAACTGTAGGACCAGCTGCCTGCCATCCTGGGAGACATTCATGTCTTTAGGCAGTTGTGGAAAGTTGGGGCTGCCTGAAATCCAGAAGCCTGGGTTCCCCTTTCCAGAGGAGAGTGGCTGGCAAACATGATGCACTGTACCAAGAGTCCATCACAGAGTTTATACTAAGGCACAGGGATTCAACACATGAATCCGAGTTTGACTCAATTCACCAAATTGTTCTGAGCACCTAGTGCAAGTGTGGCATGTTAGAGGTTGTTCTAATGCAAAGTCTGTGACAACACCAAAACTCCGTGGCGATGGCCAGGTTATGGTGCTAGAGGAGAGTGAACCCTCCCTGGCCACATTGTCCTCATTATCGTAGTCGCAGAAATAGTAGGTGTTGATGTTGACCAACAGCCAGGCAGGTCCTCCCTGGAGTCCAGGGACTCATGGAGATGTTATCTTGCGTGGGACCCGTGGAAGGCATCCCACCCAACTGTACCATTTCACAGGTGAGAAAACTGGCCCACGGTCCAGGTGGCTTGTCTACAAGGCCATCGGACGGCCTATCCAGTTTTCCTCTTATTTGTGTAACTCAGCACCCTCTATTGAGGGAATCTGGACTGCAAGAACAGTGTTTCACTCAAGGGAAAAAAAAGTTTAATTACATTAGGCAACCTATTCCAGTTACATGCAAATTCGACAATATTTGAATGGATACACAGAACATATTTTGTCGGGCAAATGAGACACTGAAACTGCCCCCTTCCTCCTCCCAATTTTTTGCAGTTCTCTGCTTCCTGCCTACCCACTTCTACCTTCCCAGAGCTCCTCTGGCTCTCGCACTGACCCACAAGCCCCACTCCTTACTCAGTGACTGTGCCTAACTGTCCAGAACCCCAAGGGCTCTGGGCCAGGACCCTCTCAAGGGGATTAGCTCCAGGGACCCAAGGCAATGGGAGACCAGAGCGGCTCCTATTCCACCAACAGGGGCCCATGGTCTTGAAAACCTCGCGAGCCTGGCAAAGGGTGTCTTTCGAGTGACAAGCACTTTGGGGCCCTGGGAGTAGCAGGGGGTTAGATGAGCTGACCTCCCTGTTTCCTTCCTTTCTTCTTGGGAGGGCTGATGTCAGAAGAGACTAAAGCTTAGGGCATGTTTGCTGGTGATAGTGCTAGAACATAAGAGACTTTTCTGGAGATATTTACTGGCTACTCAATGTGCCCAGCATGGCACACTAGACCAGAGAATGGCCCTGAGTGGAAATCTGGACCTGGCTACTTACTGTGTGATCTTGGGTAAGCTACCTAGCCCCTCTGGGCCTCTATTTTACCCCTTACAAAATGGGGGATCAGAATAATAGCTATCTCGTAGGGTGATGCATGGTCTTTGAGCGGGGCTAGACACTCAGAAAGCACCACAGAAACATTACTGCTTATTATCAGTGTTGTATGAATAAAACACACCGGGGTTTCCAAACATGGCTGTGAGATGGTTTTCATTCTCTTCCTTTTACAGATGCACTGGTGAGGAAATTGACGCTGCGAAGAGTTGCACTGATTGGAGGACCGCTCAGGCCTGGCAGGCTGCAAACTATCTGGTGCTCCGTCTACTTCCTGTGAGCACCTGCCACTCTGAGAAGAGCGATTCGGAAAGTTCTGTAGGCAGCCCTCCAAACTGGGGTACACACCAGAGAGCAGCAGGACCTTGGGAGAGGGACACGGAAGACCTAGAACTGCTGGATGACGCCCTTGGAAGGAGAGAAGAGTGTGGAGAAAGGAGGTGGAGGAGGAGGAGCCCGAGGTGGCTCAGGAGGTGGCGTGTGCAGTAGAGGGGGCTCCCATCTTGCTCTGGTCCCCTGTTGGTCACCAGCTGCTCAGGCAGACCCTAGAGACAACTCCTGTTGCACAGGGGAGACCATGAGCTCCTGAATCCCCAGCTACCTGGGCCGGGGCTCTGTGGCCAGACCTGCTTGCCTCACACAGGTCCTGAGCAGGAGCCCCCATCCTCCCTACCCCAGACATAAAAGAAGGAAGCCTGGGCCTGGGCGAACACCCCAGGGTTGTGGACTAGGATGGGGGATGGGCCTGTAACAGGAGGTGCCCTGGGTGTCCTCCTTCGGCCCCATGGAGTCCTCACCCATTCCCCAGTCATCAGGGAACTCTTCCGCTTTGGGGAGGGTCCCTCAGACTCCAGGTCCATCTACTGCCAGTGGGGTCCCGGAGGTGGAACTGCAGGATGTGGCTTCCGAGTCGGTGGCCCTTTTCTTCATGCTCCTGCTGGACTTAACCGCTGTGGCCGGCAACGCTGCTGTTATGGCTGTGATCGCCAAGACACCAGCCCTCAGAAAGTTCGTCTTTGTCTTCCACCTCTGTCTGGTGGACCTGCTGGCAGCCCTGACCCTCATGCCCCTGGCCATGCTCTCCAGTTCTGCCCTCTTTGACCACGCCCTCTTTGGGGAGGTGGCCTGCCGCCTCTACCTGTTCCTGAGTGTCTGCTTCGTCAGCCTGGCCATCCTCTCGGTGTCGGCCATCAACGTGGAGCGCTACTATTATGTGGTGCACCCCATGCGCTACGAGGTGCGCATGACGCTGGGGCTGGTAGCCTCCGTGTTGGTGGGCGTGTGGGTAAAGGCCTTGGTCATGGCTTTGGTGCCAGTGTTGGGAAGGGTCTCCTGGGAGGAAGGTGCTCCCAGCGTGCCCCCGGGCTGTTCACTACAATGGAGCCGCAGTGCCTACTGCCAGCTTTTCGTGGTGGTCTTCGCTGTCCTCTACTTCTTGCTGCCCTTGCTGCTCATCCTCGTGGTCTACTGCAGCATGTTCCGCGTGGCTCGTGTGGCTGCCATGCAGCACGGGCCACTGCCCACGTGGATGGAGACACCCCGGCAGCGCTCCGAGTCCCTCAGCAGCCGCTCCACCATGGTCACTAGCTCGGGAGCCCCCCAGACCACTCCGCACCGGACGTTCGGAGGAGGGAAGGCGGCAGTGGTCCTTCTGGCTGTCGGGGGTCAGTTCCTGCTCTGCTGGTTGCCCTACTTCTCCTTCCACCTCTATGTGGCCCTGAGTGCTCAGCCCATCTCCACGGGGCAGGTGGAGAATGTAGTGACATGGATTGGCTACTTCTGCTTCACTTCCAACCCCTTCTTCTATGGCTGTCTCAACCGGCAGATCAGGGGCGAGCTCAGCAAGCAGTTTGTCTGCTTCTTCAAGCCGGCTCCAGAGGAGGAGCTGCGGCTGCCCAGTCGGGAGGGCTCCATCGAGGAGAACTTCCTGCAATTCCTTCAGGGCACTGGCTGTCCCTCCGAGTCCTGGGCTTCCCGACCCCTCCCCAGCCCCAAGCAGGAGCCACCTGCTGTGGACTTTCGAATCCCAGGCCAGATAGCTGAGGAGACCTCCGAGTTCCTGGAGCAGCAACTCACCAGTGACATCATCATGTCGGACAGCTACCTCCGTCCTGCACCCTCGCCCCGGCCAGAGTCCTGATGGGCCCTGGACACTCGGAGGGACAGGGAGCCGGGGGCCACTCGTGAGTGCAAGGACTACCTTGTGGGACCACATTTGTTTCCTGGCTGGCTAGGGCTGGAGGCTGGGGTCTCCACACACAGCTTTCTGCTTAGTGTTTCCTGGGTCAGGAACAGAGCCAAGAGGATGAATGTCCGGCAAAAGCCTTGGACTTGGCTGTGCTCTCTGACTCCTGGGGGAGGGAACCTGGGGTGTGGTGAGATGGTGACAAGAGAAAGGGTTACAAAGGTGAGGGGAAGCTCTCAACTGACTGTGCACTTTTCATGCCCAGCAAGTAAGGCCACCCTCTGAGGGCAGGAGGTGGAGACTATGGGAAGGCAGGTCAGGTCTGGAGTCATTCTGGGGGTCACTTAGGATGTTTTGTTTCTCAGTGTTAACTGGCCAGGGCAGTAACTGCACCCAAGCAAGGTAAGAAAACCACCCTAGTCTTCTCATTTGCTTGCAAAGTTTAAAAAGAACAAAATTAGAGCTAAGTGTTTCCATTTGGACTGACAGCTCTTTCTCCAGTTTTTTTTTTTTAATTAGTAGGATGTCTTTTATTGAGAGGCAGAAGTGGGAGAGGGAGAGAGAAGAGGAGAGACCAGCAGAGAGATGAGCTAATCTGCTGACCCATTCTCTAGCCAGCACCAAAGACTGGTGCTGGGACGGGGCAAGGGTAGAAGCAGGGATCTTCGAGCCAGGGACTCAATCCAGGTCTCCCTTGTGGGCAGCAGCAGCCAGATTCCTTGACCTACCACCACGGCCTCTCAGGTTTGCATGAGCAGGAAGCTGGAGGACCGAGGGGAGCTGGGAAGTGAACCCGAGCCCGCTGACCCGGGGACACAGGTGTCTTTAGCACCAGGCTAACTGCTGGCCCCTGTTCCCGTCTGGCACCTGAGATTTCTTTACAATGAGAGAGCCAGCAGCATTATGTTCCTTTTTAAAGTTTGGCCAGAAGCTAAGGGGAACAGAAACGAGGATACATGCAGTAGGAGACAGGGAAGATATCCCCTAGGAAAAGCCTTTGGGTTCTGTTTCCATCTCTCCCGCGTTTAGAGCTTGCTTGCAGCAGGCAAGAATGGGACAGGATGGTTTTTTTCCTCCCTTTTAGGAAGAAACATGGAAGAAGTGGGAGGTGGATGGCTGAGGGCTGGGTTAGTATTTGAATTGTTAAGGTAGCTGGATAGGGGCTAGGGAATCCCCCTCATCAGTAACACTGCCCATCTTTCTTTCCAGGTCTGGCCTCTCTGCTCTTTCGCCTCATGGCAATGACCCACCTCCAGCGCCCGGGGACAACCGGGAACAAGAGGCTAAGGTCGGGCATAGGAAGCGTGGGGTTTCCCCCGGTCTGGAAAGGCCCCTCCACACCTACACACTGCTCTCAAGATTAGCTTCCGTCTCACTGCTCCCTGTGGTCCTGGGTGGCAGAGAGGGCACGGGAGGTAGGCTCAGCTGCTCAATGGTTGAGACTGTAGGACTGTGGTGGTTTTCGCTGAGTGGTTCAACACAGAGAATGACTACAGCCCAGACAGAATACCTTAGCTCTGGGATCAGCTGTCCATCCCACTTCCCAAATTACATCAGGCCACACCCTAGGGTCGGGGCGGGGTGAGGGGCTGGGGGTGTGGTCTAGATTCAAACAAATCTTTGAATCACTGAGCATCAAAAGCAGAAAACGGGCTTGTGGGAGTGGGAGAGTTTCTCCTTTGAACAACTAATAAATAATTTTTTATGACAAAGTTATACTGATATCAACATTGACTGCTTCAGTTCCACTCAGTGCATAATAGGCAAATGAATGCCCACAATTCCGTGGGACCCACATGGAGGGTTTAGTCACTACCTTTAGGGAGTTTAGAGTCTAACTTGATTGGATCCCTCATCTTTTTGCAGAGCATTCCAACCTGAGCAGGCACTACAGGATGTGTCTAAAAACCATCCTGTAGCATATAGCCAAGGTTCTAGCTTCTCAGAGTTCAGTCCACTGCAGTGGGAGCCCTGGGCAGAGGTGCCCTGCAGTGTGCACAGTATGGAGGCTGTAAATTTAACCCTCATGTGAAGAAAAAGTTTGACATGGAGTGCACCAACTTAGTCTTATCTTAATGATCTAGGAAATTGTCAAGGTTTTTGTCTTCCTACCTTTAGATTACTGGTTGAGCCTACAGCTTATTATATTAAAGAAATCCCTTACAACGACAGTTTCTATAGTTAGGAAAGTGATTGAAAAACGCTTTCGCTCACCACCCCCTTGCCCTCGCCACACTAAGATAAACTTATACTGATGAATCTCACTCCTAGTTGGGGGGGGGGGGGGGTGCCGTGAGGAACCCTCCTGCAATCACTGATGTGCTAGTACAGCTGATGCACTGCCAGCAGGTGGCAGTGTGAGTCCAGTGGAAATCAGGAAGGTGTGCGGCTGTTGGGGGAGGGACCAACAGGAGGGTGGAGGGCAGTAGACATTGCCAAGCAGCCATTTTGTTAATTTATGTTGCCTTTCCCTGTAGCTTTGCCCTCCAGCCCTTCTGACACACTGCATTCAACAATTAAGTTCCCAGGGCAAGGATGCCTTCTGATTCAGGTTGAAAATTCCTGGCACAGTGATCTCACTGATGTTTATTACAGAGCCTTTTTAAAATGACATTTGTGGGTTCATTTGCCATTTATCTTTCTGTTAAGTGACTTATGAAGGAAATAAAAAATTATTATTTTCTTTATCCTGCTGACAACTTCCCCGACATTTTCTTGCTATGGCCATCTTCCAGCAGTTTTCTAGATGCCAGGACAAGCTGGGGAAATTCACTGTGTGATCCTAACCTCCGAAAGCTGTTCCTGAACAAAACCATGCCTTCCCAGGCCACAGCAGAATGAACCACAGGTGGAAACAGTCCTCTTGGCAGTGATTTGTTCCTGCCGTTCTGCTGTGTGGAGCAGCTCCGAATCCCAGCCCTGGACCTTCGTTCTCTTCAGGCGTCCCGAAGGAAATGGTCCAAAGGGTTGAATCTGAAGTCAGACGGGTTTACTAACTTCCTCACTGTGTGAATCTGGGAAAGCTGCTTCCTTTCTCTGAGCCTATTTCCTCATCTGTAAAACATGAGGGATTCTCATTACCTACCTCACAGGGTTGTTGTGAGGGTTCCGAGATGAGATGTGGAATCCCCTGCCATGCCTGGCGAAGAGGTACTCAATAAATACTGGTTTTTCTTCCCTTTCTTCTTGCCCTTTTTCCCTAGACATATTGGTCATGAAAAAGCGATCGCTTTTATTAACAGTCTTTTAGAAATGAGTGCGAGAGTTTTCAAACTGTGGACACCTGGCATAGATAAGAGGCTGTTCCAAGTGACTCTAATCAAACCTTTCTGATTAACGAGTCATCCTTATACAGGCCCCCATACTGGGAAAATAACTTTTTTTTGGGAAAATAACTTTAAAAAAAACCTTTCAATTAGTTTTTAACAGATTCAATATAATTCAAAAATACTTTTAATTGCAGGGAAAGGAAAACGGGGGTGCCAGAGAGTTCCGCTTGGAGTGCACAATGCGAGTACCCATGAACTATCAGTGTAGAGGGGTTGGGGCCACCTTCAGGGACTTACCCAGGGTTAGCAGTGAAAGCATTTTTGGGAGCTTTTACAGAGGGGATTGGGTAATAGTTCAGGCCATAGTATAATTGAGAAGCAAATTTTACTATCCTTCCTTTTTGGTGTGGAACAACAGGACATTTTAGGAAACTCCCAGAGGCACCAGCTAGTTTCAGGGTGTGGAGCTGAGGTCGACTGACGACAGGGTTCAGTCCCACGCCAACGACCTGGCATATTTCATTTTCTGGAGGAACTGCATGCTTACCTTTCAGGTGACACAGCATGTATAGTCAGTGGAGTACCCAGCAGCAGGTGATTTCAACATAGAAGCCGAAATTCGCAATCAATAGCACAAGGTCTGGGATACAGTGTGAGAGTCCAAGGCATGGGCCAGAGTGGGCAGAAAAGGGACCGCTGAAGACCCCAGGACACGGTGAGGGATGGCCGGGGCCCGGGCTGGACAACCTCGGCAGAGATGAAAGCAATTTTCTGGCCAACGGGAGATTCCCATTAGAAGGTAACCGCGAGGCTGTGGGGCGATTAGCTCGAGTTATCCTTCCCCCCCACGTTGCCCAGCGGCCGTGCGACTCCCCAGGAGAGCACTGGGACTTGGAGGACTCGATGATCCTCCCTTCACGCAAACCAGGTAGCTGGAAGCAGGAAAGGGCGCTGGAAAGCAGGTGTGCGCGAGCGGCCGGTGTCACAGACCCTCACAGTCCCGCAGCGCCCTCTCAACAGGCCCGCCACGCCCCCCCGAGCACTTCCGCCTTTGGGCTCCTCGCCCAGGGTAACGGCCGCGGAGCGTCACCGGAAGTGCCGCACGCACCGGATATCCGGTGCTTCGGGGCTCTCGGGGCGCTGACGGAGAGGGCCGCCGCCCAGCAGTAGACGCTTTCCGTGCCCGCCAAGCTGTCTTTGCTGCGGGGTGTGTGTGTGTGACTGAGCCCGGGCCCAGACCCCTCCTGTCCCGCCGCCGCCATGGGCTGCACGTTGAGCGCCGAAGACAAGGCGGCGGTGGAGCGGAGCAAGATGATCGACCGCAACTTGCGGGAGGACGGAGAGAAAGCAGCCAAAGAAGTGAAGCTGCTGCTGCTGGGTGAGGGGCTGGGGGCGGGCCCGGGGTGGCGGCTGGGAGAGCCCGGGGACTGGCCAGGCCGGCCGGGAGGACCCCCGGGGACCTGGGGAGGCTGGGCCGGCCCGAGGCGGGCTGCTGGGGCTCGGGCCTCCAAAGGGCGTGGCGACGGGGTGGGGTTGGGGGTCGTGGGCTTGGGAAGCTGTAACTTGGGGCTGGAATTAGGTTGGGGAGGACGGTGCCGACTCTGTGAGGAATATGGGAGACGCTCATAAAAGAGCTGATGTTAGTGGAGGTTTCACGTCGAGTTTGAGCGTGTTGGTGTCTGTTGGATTTTGTAAAGATGGTTTGTGAGTCGACAACACAGTGATAACTTGGTGATGAGCTAGAGGCCTGAGCGGTGTATGGATGCAGTGATGGCTGGGACGGAGTGGTCCCATGTGTACCCCGATGCCAGGGAGGAGAGAACACGCAGGAATCGGGCTGAAGTGCATGACTGATTGTCAGGCTTACAGGAAAAGAGCTAGGATGCAGAGATTGCCTGTACTTTTTAGAACTGCTTCCCCAGGAAGAGGGAATGGAGTGTGTGAGCCAAGCACATTTGTAGAACAGCTCTTAGGTTTGTGACCCAGGATCTCGTGGATGATGGTTTACACATTGGAAATTGTTTGAATAGTTGTTAGGGATGCCACGAAGCGGGAATAGAGTTATTTTTAGGATAAATTATGGAATTGAGTATGTTTACTGTAAAGACAGATTTCTAGAGAAATTATTGGTATCTTTTTTTCTTCTCTTCTGAGCAAAAATGTTGGCTTCTGGCATTATTGTTCATATTATCTGCTGTTTTAACTCATTAAGTCCCAAGCTTTCAACTTTGTATTTCCACAACATAATCTTTATTTCAAAGTTGACTTAAATGGCATATCATTTGCTCAATTTTAAGTTTTATAATAGTTCTCTGTAGGGTAATGGGACAGATGGGTTAAGTGGCTTTTGTGTGTAGTCATTTTTGAAATTTTTGAGATTCGGTAAATTGTAAAAATGTTCTGGTGTAAACTCACAGTACACAAAACTAGATTTCTTCATTAATTGTCTTTACTGCAGATCTGTTATGGAGGAATAGGAATGATAATTTCTGTAAATTATAAAACTTTGTTTTTTTTTAAACTTTTTGTTTTTGAAAAGAGAAATGACAGATTTTGTAATGTAAAGCTTCTGAGAACACCTTTGTAATCCAAAACTTACTTCAGAATGTTCCGGTGCCCCTAACAGCCTCATGAGGTGTTAGCATGCTGGCTTGGTTGTAGATTGCAGATATTTTTTAACAGCTTTGTTGGATATAGGGGCAGGGTTATCCATTGGAATGTAAGCTTTCCAAAAGACTCGGGAAGGTCCCTTGTGTGCACCTGCACACAGTAGGTATTCATGAATGTCTGTTGTTGGCTTCCATGAGCCACATAATGTTGGACATGGATGCTTGGGGCTTTGCAGAAGTTGGATGGAAACCACAATGCTCAAGGTATTAGCCTTTTCTGTATTAATTGGCTATGATATTAAGGATGTATGTTGTTCTTCTGTGAGCGATGTATGTTGCCTGCCACAACCCCTTCAGGACACCCACCTAGGGTCACACAGTTGGAAGCAATGAGGCTTTCTTTCAAATGGCAGGATTTGGCAGGCAGAACATGGACAAGCAGAACTTGTCCAAGTGTCCAGAAAAATCTTTATTCAGGACTTTGTAAACAATGCATTTAACTAAAAGCAAAATTAAGCACATGCTGACTTAAGAAAATTGAAAAGCAGTAAATGAAAATCAAATGTGGTAACGTTGTATTTGTTGATTATAGATTTATTTATGTGTTTGAATGGTGGAGTGACAGGGAGAGACAGAGAATCTGTTATTCTGTTGGTGTACTTCCCAGACACCTGCAGCTAGTCTAGCTGGGCCAAGCTGAAGCCAGGAGCTGGGAGCCCCATCTGGATCTCTGTTGTGGGTGGTAGGAGCCCAAGCTAGGCCTTTGCAACCTCCCATCTTAGCAAGAGACTGGATCTAAATGGGAATTGCCAGTTGAACTACACTCTTAAGTACTCAAATATGATGCAGATGTCCCACAGGAAGCTTAACCCACTACATTGCAACGCTCGCCTCCAGAAAGGACTTTCTGTGCAACAAATTCAGATAGGTTAGAAAGACGCATTCTCTTGCCTGAAGCAGAGAACATTCCTGTGAAGTTGTTTTCATGTTGTTTCTCGAAGGAAAATAAACCCAGTGGTGTATGGAAATTTTCTTTTTGCTTTAGATTATTTTATTATTTAGTCACTATAAAATTATCAAACTCACTGTAAGTTGAAATCAGTGTACTTATCATTGTCTGTCCTGGCTCAGAATATATTTTCTTCCTTACAGGGATATGGTATGACATGAATATTAGCAGCACAGGTCCTGAAGTTAGACTTCTTCAAATCCTGCTTTTAGTTCACTAGTGGTGGTTTTGCAAAAGTTATTACATTTATTCTTCATTGGGAACCTAGGATTGGTGGGAGGCTTCTCTTTTTATCTCTCTCCTTACTGCAGATCTAGAAAAAAATAATATTAATGATGTGGAAACAGTGGCCTTACCCACTTTTCTGTAGCCCTTGACCCTTTGTGCCCTAATCAACTATGTAAAGATTATCAAAATAAGATAATAAATAATTTAAAAATTTGTTTCTTCCTGCCTCAGTTTCCTTGGCTAAAGTAAAAAAAAAAAAAGAGAGAGAGAGAGAGACATTGATTTTGTAAACAGCGATGAGTGCTAACTCACTGAATATTAGTTATACTCATTAACTCAAAAGGATTGTTACAAATTATAGGTTCTATAAATAAAATTCCAAGTAAGTAACCATGGTTGGGCTGAAATACTTCCATCCACTGGTTTACTGTCCAAATCGTCACAGAGCTTATTCCAGGTCACCCACGTGGGTGCAGGGGCCCAAACACAACAACCTTTGCTGCTTTCCCAGGCCATTGCAGGGAGCTGGATCAGAAGTGAAGTAGCCAGGACTTGAAGTATTGCCTATATGGGATACCAGTGTTGTAGGCAGCTTTACCCACTACACCACAGCCCCTATAATTCTTTTGATTGTCTTTATTTTTATTTTAAATTCCTTTTGGGTGGTGTGTTGGCAAGATGTGTAATTGCAATTTTCTTTTTTTTTTTTTTTAAAGTTTATTTTAAAAGTCAGATAGTAGTGAGCATGTGAGAGAATTCAACCTAATTCACTTCCCAGATGGTCACAGTGGCCAGCCTGGGCCAGGCTAGAGCTAAGAGCTTCTTCTAAATCTCTCATATGCGTGCAGGGGCCCAACACTTGCACCATTCTCTGCTGCTTTTTCTCATACTGTTAGCAGGGAGCTGGATTGGAATTGGAGCAGCAGAGGCTTGAACTGGTGACCATGTGGGATGCTGACATCACAGACCAAAGCCTTTCCCACTACACTATATAATACCAGTCCCTAAAGTTGGAAATTTTTTGTTAAAAGATAAAATTATTATTACTTAACTGGTATATAGGGTGTAGTACTGCATGCATATGTGCTGTTTGCAAATTTTTATAATGTATAAATTTTAAGTTTGTATTTATTTTGTTTATTTATTTGAATGGCATAGGGATATTTAGAGAGACCTCCTATCTACCAGTTCACTTTCCCCAAATGCCGGAGTTAGACCAGCCAAGGCCAGAAGCCAGTAACTCAGTCTGGGTGGCTGGTGGCAGGGACCCAAGCCATCACCTGCTGCCTTGCAGTGTGCACTAAAGCGGGAAGAGTGGATCCGAGGCAAGGCTGGAACTCTGACCTTGATACCGTCAGTTAAGGTGTGGGTGACCCCTGCAGCAGCGGCCTGCAAGCCCCTCTGTCAGAGGACTGCTTCTGTTTGGAAGGGGTTTTTTTTCTTTCTTTCTTTCTTTTTTTTTTTTTTTTTTTAAAGATTTGTTTTTATTGGAAAGGCAGATATACAGAGAGCAGGAAAGACAGAGAGGAAGATCTTCCATCCATTGATTCACTCCTCAGGTGGCCACAATAACCAAAGCTGAGCCAATCTGAAGTCAGGAGCCTGGAGCCTGGGTGTAGGGTCCAAGGCTTTGGGCTGTCCTCGACTGCTTTCCCAGATCACAAGCAGGGAGCTGGATAGGAAGTGGGGCCACTGGGATTAGAATTGGTGTTCATATGGGATCCCAGCATGTGCAAGGCAAGGATTTTAGTCACTAGGCTACCAGCCAGGCCCTGTTTGGAAGTTTTTGAGAACTTGTCTCTGTACTTTAGATGACTCTTGTCTTCCTCCAGTGAATAAAATGCACTGCTTGTTGCTCCAGATCGTTGCAGACATGTGGCGAATAGTACTGTTTCCATCAGTTACAGCCCTCGCAGTGAGAATCTAGACCCTGCAGTTTAGGTGTATAGCAGATAGGCCCATTTGCATTTGTGTAAGTATGCGTTGATGTTCACACAGTGCCAGGCTTCGCCTAACGACTCATTTCTCAGAACACACCTCCCTGCTAAGCCATGTATGAGAAGTTCAATGCATAATTTGCCTTCCCTCTTCTACCTTACCCAAATCTACCTGTTGTGAACTTTTCTGTTCTGGCACCAACATTGCCAGCATCATCCAGGCTGGAGACAGTCATTAAAAAAAAAAAAAAAACAGCTATCTTAAGCATGTTTTTAAAAAATTAGTTCACTTAAACACCAGAGAGAAATAAATCACCCATCTGTTGGTTTGCTCCCCAAATGCCTGCAATAGCTGGGCCTAGGCCAGGTGAAGCCAGGAGCCAGGAACTCAGTGCAGGTGTCCCACATGGGTGGCAGGGGCCAGTTGCCTGGAGTCATCATGGACTGCCACCCAGGCACTCATCTCTATCAGGCAGTCACTTATCAAGACCTTTGACTCAGTCTTTACCAGATTCCACAATTTTGGGTTTCATGGGCTGGCAAAGTAATTTTAAAGAAATGTTTAACTCATCTACAATTTTAGTAATTTTTTTAA